ATGATGTAAATGTGTTTATTTATAAAAAATTTAACGTTTTGATTGATCAGTCGTTAAATCATGGACATCTTGTTCTAATAGATCGATAGTATTAATCACAATTTAATTAAAAAAAGAAAAGGATATCTAAGAAATTACTCACCAATATTCCGTACAATCGTTTTTAATTCGAGTTGTTGCAGGTTAAGTCCATCCTTCGGTTCAATACTTCAATTAACCTTGATCAAAAAAAAAAAAAACTATGCAGAAAAAAAAGACAAGTTAAATCTTACATATAATTTTCGGGTTTCAGCCCTCAACTCTTTTATCTGTTCTGTTGTGGCCGCACTTCTTTCGAGAGCTTTTAACTCAGACTCTACCCTTTCAATTTTCTGGGTATAATCTCGTACCTTTCGTATGAACGAATAATAAATACAAAATTCAACTTATCCACTCGTGCACAAAAATAAAAAGAGACAATAAATTTACTTTGGCGGTGGTCTTTTGAAGCTCTTCTACAGAGCTTAATAAGAGGTTAGATGCGGTGTGATATTCATCTAGAAGATAATAATACCCAGAGCCGCCTGCAACTGTCAAACCTAATAGGAATCCAATGAAACTAGAGACAGTTCACAGGGTAAAAAAAGGTATAAAGGAATAAAGATAACCTTAACGAATTAGAAAATTTTGAGGTTTTTATCATGATGCGAAGAAAAACACGAACTTTAGTTGCTAAACTTACAACAGCAGTCGAAAGACGCAACACTCACCCTCCTCGGAACCCGCCGACTGGATTTCTTATTAATCGTACCGGTCGCGAATTGATATTACTTCCCGGAGCAGAAGCTTCTTGTGCACGATATTGTGCGCTGGTAAACGTTCGGGTGTTAGGAGAGGTACGTGAATATGATGCCAGTCGCCAAAGTCTTGCACGAGTAAAAACTTGCATACTTGCATAAAAAAATAAGAAATCAATTAGCAGATAATCTACGGTTTATTACAACAATGGCACGTGACTTTAATTTCGGGATAGACGTTGTCATACCAATCACAAAGGCCTTTTGTATTTCAATATTACGTACGTACAACAAATTTCAAGTTATACCTTTTTCCCAGTTTCTATTTTCCTTTAAAGAAAGAAGAATAATAAAGTTAACATGTCAAGTGGCTCTTCACCCTTTCCCGATCTCTCTTCTCTACCGATTTCTCAGGAGCGTTTGTCGCTCTTGAATCGTTATAAGGGAAGCATAAGGCCTTTTAATGAATTTTTTGACAGAACAAGGTTTTCTAAGCCCAATGGCATGGGAAGTTAGTATTCTTTACTCCGACGTATCCAACGTACGAAAACTGGTCTGACAGATACTGATATATAATTTTCTGATGTCTTTCCCAGGCGTTGCTCAAAGACTCAGTTATAACCTGACGCATTTTCAATCAAACTATATTCTCGTCGTCTTAGGACTATTGATTTATTGCCTGTAAGTCTCATTCACAAAATGTTTCAATGTATTTATCAGAAACTTAAGAAAGGCCTAATATAAACTCCGATATTTACAGAATTACGAATTTTTGGCTCCTGTTAACTATTCTTCTTCTTATCTTTGGCTTACATTACATCCGTAAAACAACTGAACCATTGGTCTTTCATCAA